GTTAGTGTGTACATTATTGAGTCCTAATGGCCTGATTAAAAGTAAACAAACAATTAAAGTAAATGGAAAACAATTTAAGTATGTGCTTAAGGTCTTCTGAACTCAATAGAATTTAAACTTTTTTAAAAAAAATCACTGCTTTCCTGAAAAAACCAAGGATTTAAATGAAGATCTAGGTTACCAGCAATATATTGGAGTATTTTTTGTGGTATTTCTCTTGCCTACTAATTGTGCATTCCAGAGATTACAACATAATTAAGACAGGGGTGCAAACATTCTGGTTAATGAATGTTTAGTTAGTACCAGTTCATTAAATAGTGCTTGAAACAGTAGCTAACAGGATGGATAAACTCTTAGGATTAGAAATATAGCTAAATTTGAAACGAGTAATTATTTTCTGACATTGATTTATGGCAATTAAGACACATTCATTGATTTATTTTATTTTTTTTTACTTTGAGATTGTGGCATAGCACTGTTTTAGGGTCTTCCTTGAAACAACAGGAAAGCTGAAATTGGCACAAAACACCAAAAGGCACATTTGAGTCCCTGAAGTCTTGTCAGCAGCAAGAATGTGAAATCTGTAATGATGTATTTTATCTTCCTGGAGGACTTTGACTCTATGCTGTGCTGCCTGAGAGCCCTGGGTCATACCAACCTGAATGATGTCTCTTCTACCACAGCTTTTCCTGTGCAGTTATTGCCATCTAGATGCTATTGTTATTAGCACCTCAGCTAAGCATAATAAATGTGAAAGGCCATAAGGAAAAGAAGCTGTTTGTGGTATCCCAAACTGGTGGACTCACAGTTCATAAGGCTGAGGTTTGCTTTTCTGTGCTTATGTTTTCTAAGGGGAAAAGAGAGGCTTTGAATGGCGGCTGGTTTGAAAGCTGTTTTGCAGGTTTGGAAACAGTATAGAATTTATTTCACCCTGCCTGAAACAAGTATTGAGTTTATTTCTATTTCTTTAGCTTTTTTTTTTTTTTAGTGCATAGTAAAGACTCTCAGTTCTTTGAAGGAGGATTTCAGTATGCAGTTTTGTCAAATTAATGACTAAACATAATGGAATTGTAACTAAAATTTTACATAGTTTAAAAGAATAGCTTAGTTCCTATGTTTGTGGTGGCTGAAATATTGCTTGAATAAAACCTTCTGACACTCGCATTTATCCGAGGCAGAAGAAACCTTCTCCTGACACTCGCATTTATCCGAGGCAGAAATAGAACCTGGCTTTGAAAGAAACCTCTACTTTGAAACTGATTTTGAGAGAATTCAATTTCTCTCCTCCAGCTTTTGGTTTCTTACTGCTTGTAGTGGCTTCAGATCAGATCAGGACAAATGGCCTCATTTATATAAATGAAGTATTAGCAGCTGCAGATTATCAGGACGAATGGCCTCATTTTTATAAATGAAGTATTAGCAGCTGCAGATCCCATTTCTGTTGTGTCTCCTTTCATACAACAGTTGAATGGGGCAGGAGCAGATGGTGCTCAAGTGTGGTGTCATCCCTCAGTTCTTCACTGGTGACACCCTTACCTGCACAGGTAGGAGCAGCCACCACATCTCCTCAGTGCCTCAGCCGTGGGGAACGGGGAAACCGGATGGTATCGTTTCCTTCTGTGCCTCTCTGCTCCAGCAAACAGCTCTGGTGTGTCAGGAAATTGTACTCATTCAGTCGTAGTGTGTGTAATTGTTTCATTGTAATGTAAGAATCCATTGTTCTTTAATTATTCCTTTAGGTCTTTCACTGTTGAAATCTGGTCATACTTAGTCTGCTATTACAGAGAAATTAATATTTAACAACTGGTTTTCTGAAAAAACAATGGAGGAGTAAAGGCAGTTCTGGATTAGAAGAGATTAAACCTTTATCTCAAGGAGGTCTTATTTCAAAATGAAGACCTCCCTTTTCATTATAGCAATTTTCCCTTCACTTTTCTGGTGTCAGTTTATTTAAATAATTCCTATGTGTTCATTTTGAAGACGCCACCCTTTGTCAAGGCCTTTGTGTTCATTCTTATTAGTCAAACTTAACATCAGAGCAGCTCTTCACTTCTGTCTCCAAGAGTTTTTTCTCTACCTCCAGCCTGTTAGCCAAGGATACCTTTGCTGCTGAAGGCTCCCAACTCATCCTCAGTATCAGCAGAGCTCAGCTCTTCTTGCTGTTGAGTCATGTTGTTTCTCAGAGTGGCAAGGAAGTGCTTTCTACAGAGGCAGTAATTTTGACCTCTACTTCTGTAAATTCATAACTTCTAAGAAGCCCTTGTGTTCTCTGAATTGTTTCTGGGAAAAACAAGTGCTATGAGCAGCCTGCAGGAGGGGGGAATTGTTCTGGTGTGCTTTCAGTGAGTGCTTTGGGTAATGGCCCCTTGCACTGCTCTCGGTGCTGTAAACGGACAACTGTGAAACCAACTCACCAAATAACAGACATGCAGCAATAAGCTCTGGAATAGTTTCCAGGTGGAGATGGTCCTCATGTAGAATAGGTTCATCTCATGCTTTAGGCTGCCAAAAGAAAAGAAAAAAAATCATTCTAGCTGCTGTCAAATTAAAGGTTGTTTAAATGGATCTCTTATTGCTTATAACAGAAACCTGTAAATTACACACCACCGATATCACCTGTAGTCACTAATGGTGTTGCTGTTCACTACATATGTGATTACTTCTAATGCTTTATTTTCTAAGAGACCAGGATGTCCCTGGCCATCATCCAAATTGCTATTGTATAGCAAACCCACTGCAAAAGTGAGGAAGATGATGTCCTGTACCTGTGTCATTGGTACAAGTTGACTTGTGGCCTGAACTATATCCTTCATTAAGACTAACTGTGTCCAGGTTAAAAGTCAGGTGAAGCTGAGGTTGGTAGATCATTTTACAGAAAAAAACATTGTGACAAAGTATAGGAGAATCTGACTTGAAGGATATTGATTGCCCAGAACAAATGCTTCTAAGTTAGGAAAGAATTAAATCTACGTTTTTAAGCTCAACTGACCTCCCTAGGAATTTATATTATGTCACCTGTTAAATATTATATGACATTTCTTCCCCAAAAATAGGAAGATTTGATCATTGAGGTTTTTAGAAACAGTGATTTCAAGCCTAGTTTCTAGAAGGTTATTTCCTAGTCATTATAGTTTAACAGTGTGTTTCTCTTCTACCTCCACCTGTTTTCCCTCTAGTTCTATTCCAACCAGGATATATTTATAATAATGAGATATCATAGGAATGGATGTTCACCTAAGTATCCTTAAGTGAGGAATTTGTACAAAAAATGTCTATCTCAGTGAATTTGTGTATAACCTTAGCTTAGCTTATAAAATTAGATGTTCAGAAGATTGATATAAAGTGACTCTTCCCACAGTTTAATTAAAAGCTAAGGGGAAAGAATGTTTACTACTTTTGGTGCCAGTGAGTCTCTATGCCTGTGTTTTCTTATGAGCACTTTATTTGTTTTATTCCTGGTGTGTAAACTGGTCTACTGTGCAGACCTTTGGTTTGACTGTGAATTTACAAATCAAAGTTAGCTTGCTTTCATATGCAGTAGTGAAAGGAACTGAGCAATATCTTTTTTCCAAATGAGATTTTGCAACGTTCAGGGATGAAGTTAGCTGAATTAAAAGCTAACAGTTTCTGGTTTTCTGGTTTCCATACATTATTTTATATATAACTGGAATCTAACGCTCTTCTGTGATAATACAGGATAAAGATATAAGAGCAGGAACTAGGCAGAAAAATAAGCTTTTTAAAAAGCACTGATTTTTGAGAGCAGTGTGAGCTAAACACTTGCATTGAAAGGCCATCTACATGGTGTGTGAGCTCTGGCTACAGTGTGAATTCAGGCAATAATAATCCAATGAAATAACAGCTCATTAAGGTACCTTTTTAGTATAGAAGTGATGGGGCAGATTAACAGCATCTGCTGCATTTCTACAGAACCTTTCATTCAATTAGATCTACAGTAATCATAGAATTCATAATTTAATTCATTAGGAAACTCCTCTCTGTAAATACCTGTCATTTGTTTGCACATTATGCACTTAAAATCAGCAATGGAACCATCTAACCATAAACACTAGCAAGTAGCCTGATGCCAACTGCAGTGCTTTGGAGTTAGGTCTGTTCTCTTTATTAGCTGGACTTGTCACTTTTGCCCTGAACTATGTAATCTATAGGAAGCCAAAGCAGCTGTGGAGGAGACCAGAGCCCTGAGAAGCAGGATTCACCTTGCAGAAGCAGCACAGAGACAGGCACGTGGCATGGAGATGGACTATGAAGAAGTAATTCGCCTATTAGAAGCTGAAATTGGAGAGCTGAAGGCTCAGCTCACGGATCAGTCTGGCCAAAATAAAGTAAGCAAAGCAGTTGCCTGTCATAGTTACCATGGTTTCCTTGCTGTTGTCATGTATCTTGTTTTCATTTTCTTTTCATCTGCTTTTCTAAAGTAGGTCACTGTTTGTCTTGTATTATTCAATAACTGGAATGATTTGTAGCAAAGGGGTAAAGTGAAGTGTGTGAGTCTTCCTTTATCCAGACATCTTGGGGCTGGAAAAACAGGAGCTCCAAGCATATGTGGGTCAGAGGTCAGAATGGCACATCTCAAGCATTAGAGCATGGAATAGTTGCTGGGCTGCAGATGTATTGTCTTTATAAAGACTACACATTGCATCTATTTGTTTGCTTTTGTATTCATGTAAAAATGGCCTTCAGATTTATGTTCCTGCTAGGCAAATCATAGCAACATAAAGTCCAGTCCTGTTCTTAAGTAAAGTTAGATTTCATCAAGGTAATCGTTTAAATGCTACTAATCCTGCCAAAAAAAAAATATTTTTAATCGACCCTCATATTTTAAACCCACTTCATCTCCAGTGAGGCATTTCAGAACATGCTAAGGAGTAAAATATTTGAGGCCCTTTTACATTTTTCCCCATAGCTGGATCCATTTTCTACACACAGTTTGAGCAAGTGCAAGCAGCTTGACATTTGTGTGGTTACCTGGTTTTTCTCATGAAAAATGGATGTGCATATGACTTGATGGAGAAAGGGCAACATTTCAGTAGGTTATTTCATCATGAGAATCAATTCAATATTGCAAAGCATTAAGGGGTACAGTGTATAGTGCACGGGCTGCAGGGGACACAGCAAGTCCATGGTGCTCCCAGGGAGGAATTCCTCTCTTCTAATTGTGTGTGTATGTGATGAGCTGAATCACACCCTAGCAGTTCTTCTTTCTGAACATCTGGAATGCCCCATCTTTTATGTCAGGAGGTTTCTAGGCAGTGTTTGTTTTCTAGGACTTGTATAAATATCAACAATTTAAGAAATTCTAAAGGTGTGAGTTGCTTTCCTAGAGATTTGTTCTGGAGATGTTAGCTTGAATTCCTGAAATTCTGATTGAGTACTGAAATACCTGAGTTGATACTTGAGACTCTGCATTTCTTATTCAAAAAGAGCAGTATCAAATAGGTACCAACTCTATAGTATATATCCCCAGTATGAAAGAGTGAGGTCCTCTGGGGCTTGCCAGCTCCTGATCCAAGAGGGGACAGTGAGATAACTAAAGTGTTTGAATCAACAGGTTCTTTGACATGGAGGATGGTCATGATTCTGTTGCTTTGTACAGTGTATACAAACAAATGTGTGTACTCATTTGCTTCAAGTAAAGATAATCACTGAGTTTTGGTGATTATAAGAGTTTCAGAGTAGGTACTGAGCTTTCAGAATGCTCAACTACAATGTGATAGGAGTTTAATTCTAGTGATATTCTCGCTACAGTGTAATAGGAGTTTAATTCTAGTGATATTCTCTTAATTTTGGGAGATCTTTCTAGATGTTCTGTTCAGCAGACAGCTTAGCTGGACAAAGATGCCCATGGACATGTGAAGCCTTCACTCGTGGTCCTCTCACATGGACAGTGCCAGGGACTCAGGATGAAACCTGGAGCCTCCAGGCTTGATCAACAGGGGTCACATTCTCCTCAACTGAAGTAGGGAGGGATGCATAACACTGATCAATAGGTTATACAAGTGCATGCAGTGAAATCCTAGGGGGTCATTTCCTTCAAGATGTGCCATAATTACTGTGTTGGCCAAAGAATTTGTGGATGCAAACTAGAGGACTGAGTTTGCTCTCATTCTGGCTGTTACTGCCAACACCAGGTTGGTATTCGTGATCCATTCATAAATCTCTTAACTTTCAGCCCTATCACTGTTATCTGCTAATTTTAATTTACCCTTATATTATTTGCCAAAACCTGTTGTAGGTTGGAGGTGATTTGCCAGCAGGTCAGCGTCGCTGCCTCGGGTACAGCTATGTTTTCCACAGATGTAGAAAAGAGCCTGTTAAATTTCAGTTCACACCATATATCTTTGTGAGCCATGGGAGAAAATTAGTAGACTAAAAGCCTTAAAATGCTTTTCCCAGGATAACATCCAAGACTTGAAAAAGAGAGTTACAGTGCTTGACTGTCAGCTGCGGAAATCAGAGTCAGCTAGGAAGACCTTTGAGGTGGCTACTGAAAAATTGCTACAATTTGTAGAGGTAACTTTGCCTTTTGAGCAATATTTTATTTGGAGTTTTTGTTCATGTTTCTGAGGAATAAACATAGTAAACTGACTGTGAAATAGATTGCAGAGATTCCTTCATTGCTGGAAATAGAGATGGTATGTAAGTGTACAGATCCATGCAGGAATTTACCTAATCTTTGTATTTTGATATACTAAACAAAGTGAAATGATCAGAAAAGATTTTTCAGCCATTTTTTTCCCAAAACTATATCAATTTCTGTGTAATTCCTCAGAAGTAAGAGGCAGAAAAAGTAATTTGGTAAAACCTTGGAATGTTATGAAACAGCAGCAAAATAAGTGGTGAAAAGTGACATATATTTACTTCATTTAAAGGGGTTAGTATATTTTGGTTTTGACTTTTACACTTCTAGCTGGGAGAGCCTAGACTCTTTAACTGCAAATCGAATCCCTCACACCCAAATAGAACATGAAATTATAAGGTATTAACTTTTTGACTGTGTTGATTTATAAACTGTTAACATCTTGACTGTGGCCAACAGGTTGTGCATGAAATACTTGCAGATAACTCTACTTCCTCAACAGTTTTAAGGTAATGAAATGTCAGTATTAAGACTGAAAAACTCTACTGTTGTTTCCAAATCTCTAAAAACCTGTAGCTACTTTTTCCTATATTTTTGCTGTATAGTTCTGAGTGTCATTTTATTGGAGGAGAGGGACTGGCATGAATTATAAATTAGGCTTTCAGGATACAGCTTCATTAAAACACTCAGAATTAAATTAAAACAGTTAGTAATTACATAGCTATGGTTGTCTGGATGTTTCTATGAAGTAATTATAATGTACTAAGGATTAGTTAAAATGCAAAGAACCTTAACAGTGGGTTATAATTTAAAAATTTTTTTTCTTTAGGTTTGCCTAAATGATTTTGCATCCTGATGAATCCAGTAGCATTTTTAACATGTATATCAATTTACATTTTATTGCTTTTCTTGTTTAAAATGGTGCCTAGAAATATTCAATGAGATTTAAGCAGCCACTGGCCCTTCAGAATATTGACATGGTTGTGCCTCTATCTCCCAGAGCATTCCATTGATATTTCTGCAGCAGTGCAGCTGTTCAGCCTCTCTCCTGCCATGGTTTTCAGTAAAGCTCTCAAGGAAATGAAATGTTTTTAAGTGAAGTGAGCTGGAACTTTAGTTAAAGGACACACGCAGGCTCAGACCTAGCATGATACTGCAGATAATCAATGAATGCAGTTCCCATTGGCACTGCACAATGGGAATGTTGTCGTTTTTGTAGGGTGTGCAGTTTATTTTAGCAAATGGGGTGAGTATCAAACACAAAGCCAAGGTGGCAGTGACTCACCACCAGCACTGAAGATAAGAATTGGGTCCTATAAAGCAGTGTCCTTTCCTGAATGCTAATAGGATAATTCCATTTACGTTCCTTTCCTGACACCCACTGAGTTCTTGACACTCCATTTTGAGTCATGAATGTGATTTGAATTGAACTTTCCAGATACCTTTATGGTACAGACAGAACTAACGCTGAGACAATCTCACTGGTTCACTACCATGAATGTTCTTCATACAGTGAGACCAAAACCAACCTAGAAACACAAAATGACTTTATTAAGACTAGCAGTTTCCTTTGTCACCTTACAAATAAACACTATTCTTTGTTCTCTTAGTGACAGGAGAACAACATTGTCCACTAAAACACTTCTTGCACGGCTGGGAAGGATTGGACCTGCTGTCACAACAGCTCTTGCAGCAGAAGCCAGAGACCTTGCCAAGTCTGTCCGTGCCATTTTGGAAGTAGATTGTGAGTATGTGCATCTTTGTGTGCTTTGAAGTGTGGTATCATCTCATTAGCCAAGAAGATAGATAATTATATTTAAAATTGGATGTGAACTGGCAAAATAAATCATTCATAGCACCAGAGGACAGAGCAGGTTCAGTGTCAGTTCCGTATGCATCTTCATCAAACTATAATTAGAATATAAAGTTATCCCAGAGTACATTTCTTCCTGGAAAACTTAAAGCAGCAAATTAATGCCAGAATGAGGAATATGAAGATTACCAGAACCATGTAGGACTAGCAGAATTTCCTTATTTTAATGCTCTACTTTCACACTGGAATGTTTGCAAAATGTTATTCTGCTACATTTACATGAACATGTATCAAAGTGTGTTCATTAAGATGTTGTTGCTGTAGGGAGTGAATGTAGCCAGCAGTTCCATTTGGAGATATCCATCTATATCCTCAGGTTGTAAACAGAAATCTGTTCCCCTTGGTGAAATGGATGCATGAGAAATATTACATTATTTACTGTAATAAATGCATCCGTTGGAGATCTAAGGAACAACTGTGGCTTATGATAGCAGATCATCACAGTGATTGTGTATTTTGATCATGTTTTCCTAGAGTTGAGCAGACACATCGGTTCTAATCCCAAAGAAAGGGGCTGATTGACAAAAGTGAAACAGAAATGACCTGATACATTACAGGAGGTTTGGGGAGGTGATTCAGTGTGGTTGGTAATAATCATTGTGTCACAGATTTGAAGTCTTCCATTTAGATATGCAACTGTCAATATCCTTTCTTGTTTAGGAATTAATTTAGAAAGGGACTGAATAAGTATATTCATTGAGAAAATGTTTCAAGATGTGAAAAATGTTGTTTGACATTATTTATGAATCATTTATTTATTATATCACCCTGTGGCAAAAAAAAAGCAAAATAAGAACATAGCATTTGTTCAGAAGTGTTCAGAATATTAGAATTAGAGTTGCTGGTGAAGTGAAAAGAATAACAGTGACCAGGAGAGGAGATAATTGGTTTTCCACCAGTGACAATAGTGGTTCTGTCACATTGAGTTGATTTTATCACAGCACACAGGAAATTGTGCAAGGAAAACTCTTAGTTCTAAATACAACTGGATTCTAACCTGTGGCTGTGTCAAACAGCATAGGTTGGGTGCATGTTGGAAAGCTCTGGAGCCACAGCAGGGATCCATTTTGTGAACCTGAGAATTAAAAATAGGTCTGCAGAGAAGGATTTAAAGATTGAACGTCATCTTTCTGAGTTCATTCTGATTTGGAGAGCATTACAGATAGATTTGGGCTCTGACGAGCTTGTGTATGAGATTAAAGCTTTAAACCTCACTTGCTTTCTCTCCCTCCCTCAAAAAAAAAAAATAGTTAAGGCAAAGCAATTATAAGTGTGTTCTGTCTGCAGTCGTCTCTGCCAACTCTCACTAAAGGTTTCCCATGTCATCTTCGGTTTTCTTGCAGATGGGCTGTCAGAAAAAGGGGCTCTAGTGTAATAGACCTCACCTTGCAGACTGAAGCTTTTCCTTTCTCCAGAAAGATGTCCACAACATAATAATTGTTACTGAATTCTGAGAGAATTTGAGTTAATATTTTTGAGGTTCCTCAGTGGATCAAAATGTCTAGTTGGGAAACCACTGTGATATATTTGACCTTCTAAATAGAACTTCTCTTTCATGATTTTCTTTGTTTTGCACAATATGAAGTAAAGGAGCCTCAACTGAAATACCGGTTTGATTCGTTTCCAATACATGTGAAACAAAGTCTGGGTGCCAAGATGAGGTCGTGGAGTGTTCTTCCAAAAGAAAACTGCTTCCCTTGTCAAAGATCACCCATGACAACCAGGTCAAAATGACATGTTTATGAATTAGCCACAAAAACTGTCCCCTTCCTCTGTAATAACATGATATTTTGCCTGAGGGAAGAGGTTTGAAGAAGTTCAGTGTATTCCTGAAAATCTTCAAGTACATATTGCCTTGTGATAATGCTGCAGATCAGTTTGCAGCTTTGCAGGCTGAGTGACAGCTCTGTGAAGGCAGTTTGGCGATTCTTCAAGTGAGGACTCTGGGAAAAAAAAAAACCTACAGCTCATTTTCCTGTGCTTACTAACTACTTCAGGATCCTCAAGATCCCGAAATGCAAATAACAAAGTAATAAACAGAATAATCAAGCTCATCCTTTAAAAGATTCATTCTTTATCTGCTTTTAAGACCAGGAGCTATTTTTAGAGCCTGAGCCTTGAGAGGCCGTTCTGCTTTGCAGAATGGAAGCATCTCCTGAAGACATAAAATTACTTTCATCATACAAAGGGTAATAATGCCTCAGCAAAAGAACTGCAGCATTTAAAAGCAGTTGCTGCCTGCACTTAGTAGACCATATGGTGCAAATCATGCTAAAAAGAATAGAGAAAGCATTTTCTTCTTTTCTATTACAGAATTAGAAAAGAAATACACTTGGTGCTGGTAATGGCTGCAATCTGATTAACCCTGGGACGTACTTATCTCCTCATGAAGTAGCAGACAATTGGCACTTTGAGATGGGCACTAACATAACACACCTTTCAAGGGGTTTGTCTGCTAATTTCCTCATTCTACCTCTGAAACTTCCATCCAAAAATGCAATCTTGCTCTTATTGATATAATCCCAGTCACAATCCCAGTTGTTCTGCTAGGTAGTCTGCTTCTGCCCTCAGCAGGAGCATCTTTGAACTGGTTTTCCTCACCATCTTCCTTTAATCTGTTGTCAGCCTGGATCTGACACCTGCCAGTCGTGCTGGAGTTCACTAAAATGATCTCCAAATTAATACAGCTTCCAAAAATCCTACTTCCCTTGCTCATAATGATCTTGCTAGTCATAATAGTCACGATGCATTTGATTTTGAAGCTCCTACAGGCAGAGGTTTAGTTGCCCAGTGTTTTATTCATTTTCCTTGGATGCTGACTAGTTAAAAAGAAGGCAATGGAAACTGCTGGTTCTCAGCACCTATTAGTGCTTGATCTCTTGATGGTTAAGTTGCATTTGATTTTGGGACCACAAAGCCTTACATCTCAAGCATTAAAAGCTGAAATATGGAATCTATGAATTTCTTCAGTTTAGGGTTTTTTTCACTCTTCCCATTGTTTTGACAGAGCAGTTGTCGGAACAAAGTTGTAAGGTAGAGTAGCAAGTCTTCACAAATAATAATTTTGCTATTTTGAGAAGAGCCAGTATGGTTAAGTCTTCATATTTCTGTGATTTATTTGTTGCAGGCCTGTGATTTATTGGTGTGTTTGTGTATTACAGCAGAATTAATGCCATATAGTATTGCTAATTGCCAATACCATTGTTGCTGTTTTGTTCTCGAGTCTTCTCTCCTATGGACACGACAGTGCTGTGACTTTGTACAGGTAATTGGCTGTAGTTCATCAGGAGAGTTCCAGAAAAGCTGACATATGTGTGGGCTGTTCCTCCCTCCCCTTTACAGTTAGCTCTGTACATCAGACTCCAGATGTAGCTGCAGCATGAGCAAACATGTCCTGGTTAGCTTGACTTGTGTTAATTGTGCTACCGATACTAACAATGGATTTGCAGGGGCTGAATATCAAAATATGAGTCTTCTGTTGACCCCAGGAGAACTGGCTGATTGCTAACATTTGCTGAGGCTTATGTTCTGTGTCTTTTTATAGTTTTAGTATTAGACAGAGAAAATTGTTTCCTGCAAGATCCAATTTGTGGGGCTGAGTCTGCATTGGGAGGGAATACCTTTGACATTCTTTCAGCTAATAAACTAGGACTGTACCTTTTCTTCCTCACTGGAAGAGCTGCTTGAGAAGGAGAAACATAATGATCACTAAAGAGATAACTCTGTGTGTTCATTGTTCTGGCAAGGCCATAAATATTTCAGTGAATTACTGAAATCAGAAATAGAAGGGACCTATTAAATTATACAGTGTATATCCTGAGCACAGCTGTACTGCTCCTTTTTTTAATAGCTTTTGTTAGTAAAAGAATTAAAATCAGTGCTGTATGCTTGAAAGATAAAAAGCTTATGTTTGTCAATTAAACATTGAGACAGTACTTCCATTAGAAAATATCCATTTGTTGGAATTAAAATGTATTTTTCCTTTGAAACTTTGAACAACAGCAACGAAAGAGGTGAGTCTTCCCAAAACAGAGTTTATCAGCTGTTTTATCCAAAGGAAAATTTGCCAGTTTTGCTAATCCCTGAAGGTTGAAGGTTTTTTCCTCAGAGGACTTAATGGAAAGGTGATTTAATTTTTGTCCAAAAGAATAGTATTAAGTTATTCAGTTAACATTTTGCTGTTGAATCTTATCTGAGTTGACATTTAAAATAAAAACATAAATCTCAGAATTACATTTTGGAATATGACCTGGTCATCCATGACTCGTTCTGCTGAATTTTGAGCTCCTGGGGACAGCTGTCTGGTGGCACAGAATGTTGGCACTGTATTCCTCATGGAGCATCCTGGCATTGCACCAAATGCTGTCAGAACAGTGCTCCAAAATCTTTTTCCCTTAGACAAGAGCAGGAGTTGGGTGTGCCTGTGGCTTGTCTTCCTGGCCTCCACGGAGTTTTAAAGGCACCATGTGACATAAAACCTCCTCCTTCTGTAGCTGAAGCATCTCCCAGTTTGCCTTGAATGGGGAATTAAGTTCTTTGTCTGCTCAGTCTCATGTTGTAAGAAGGGCAAGACAAGGCAGGAGCTTCGTGTTGCTCTGAATGCAGCACTTGGTTCAGTCTCTGTGGGACACTGGTTTTCTGTTCCCAGCTCTGCTCCATGGAAAACCTCATAGGAACTGGGATTGGTTGTCTTCCAGTTCAACATGTGCTGCAGCTATCAGGACCTAGAGTCATCCATGAGCTGTGGGTGAGGGACCCTGTGCACAAACAGTGACTGCTGCACAAACCAGAGCTCGTCCAAAAATTAAACTTGAGGTAGCATAAAATTTTAATACTACTTTTTATTAAGTTGCAGAGTACCCACATTGCTG